AGTGCAATAAAAATAACAAGTAAGATGTCCCATTTTAAACATGTTTCAGATGATGTTACATGGCCCCTGCGTGAGTGTCCATTTTATTCATATAAAAATAAAGCTTTGAGAATGGAAAAATAAGGCTTGACTCTGATTCCAGTCCTGTTTGCTACTATCTCAACAGCAAAGGTAGTTCAGTAGACAGAAGCCAGGAGTCATTGGACTAGTTCTGTGAAGTCCAACGTGGAATCCTAAGCAGTTATACCCTTCTAAATCCACTGAAGTCAGTTGGCTTAGAAAGGTGCATCTCTTAGGATTGCGCTGTGGATCTTGGTTTCCCCAAGAGAAGTCTCATAGCTACAGGATGATCTGCATTTGAAATTAGAGAAATTCCAAATATAGTGTGTGACATGATCCAGGGCTAATCCATCTACTCAATCCTCCATACATAGTGACCCTTTGGGCACAGCCATACAGAAGAAATAATATACCAGCTAATACAACCATGTATCTGTTGCCGTGATTATCTGTAAGGTTGTAAATTTCAGCAAGTTGAAATATTTTAGCCTTGGCTCCCCATTTATTTTTAAAAAATAATGACTTACTAAGAGAGAAGATATTTCCAGGGTAGCCATGTATGACAGACCCCTGAATCTCCCCCACTCCCAGGCAAATTTTCTCATCCCCCCCCATTTTTTTTACTTCCCCTCTGTGACTGAGCCATCCTTCAGAAGCATGTATTCTTTATTTTATAAGCTTTAACTGTCCCACCCTGTTACAGATACTAGTTTAGGCTTCTGACCCAGCACAGAAACTTAGGGGAAAATACAGGAGCTGTCTTGTCTTGTATTTAAACTCTTATTGAAATGGCCCTTGAGGCAAAGTAACTTTCAAAACAACAATAATATTTTATTGAACAGGCCGGGGAGTATATATAATAGGAGATTGTCCGGATTTAGAAAGGCAGAGGTAAAACTTCATAGTATATACAGATTTGAATTGTTAGATCATACAAGAGAGTCCGCACCCCACTGGACGGAAGCCACCCCAACTGGCTTTTATATATAAGGAGAGATTTTATATATAAGGAGAGATAGTTCTTGGGTACCAGTACTTCTTAAGCAGTTGTGCATCTGTCAAATGTGTGTTGTCCCTCACTGCCTGTTACAGGAATTCAAAAGGGAAATTATAAAGATTCAAAATGTCAAACAGTTTAAAAGTATTGCTCCCAAACAAGATAACAGTGTGTTACGTCCTGCAGAGAAGCTTGTGAAATGAATGGGCAGAGTGAATCTTTTTTTACCTTTTACTTCTCTTTCTACCCCAGCAGCTTGTTGTCTCTCGTGAAAATTTCTGTTCTTCCTTTTGCTGAGAGCTCCACTAAGTCCTTCCTCAAGTTTTTCTGCAGGATTCAGTCCTATTAGCAATGATCATGAGGTTAACCAGTGCTCACGTCAGAGAACATGCATTTCCCAGGAGCGTATTGCCAGGAAACAGGTTAATTCTCTCAAAGCACTGGCATTCTCCTTTCAAACAGAGGCAGTACATGAGAATTTTCAATATGTATACCTTCTCTCTTCCAGAGGTCCGATGATGATACTTTTGCCAAAAGTTCCCAAAAATCATGGGGTCATTGTTTTCTTTACGTGATCACAGCAGCAAGTATTTTATTGCAATATCTTGGTGGGGGGGAGTTCAGGAACTCAGGAATGATACAGACTTTTCCTAAAGGAACACAACTTTTGTATGTTAATAAACTGAGAACTAGCAAGATACAGTTTGAAAATACAGGGCTTGGCTTGGAAGTAATTAGTCCTTGGGGCTACATTTTGTTCCCTGTAGAGGATGTTTTCATCAGGGAATAGAAATTTAATGTGTGATGTAACACATCTCAGCTAATTATGCTGGCCAATAGCCTAGTAACAACCAGTACAAATGTAGCAGGCTTATAGAAGTCATGAGATTTTAAAGTTGGATGTTTTATTGACCTCGTACCTCATGAACCTCTAAAATACTGGATTTATTTACTGGATTTTTATCCTGCTCTACAGTATACACAATAAATTCTAGCCAATCCCACTTTTTAAAAAATCCCACTTGGAAGAAATGGAATCTCTTCTTGAGCTAGTTATGCCAAGGACTCCAAAGTAAGCAACTTGACTTAGGGACCAAATATTGTCCTCTTTGACTAGAATATTTTTTTAAATTTTCTCGCTGAAGCTCTAATGTGCCTGTTGAATTGAGAAGCAATTCATCTTGTAGTTCATTAAGCACAGCATTTTTGTGTCACATAGATGTGCTCCATTGGACAGCCTGGTTATATTAATGAACTGTTTCTGCTTGCATCCAGTCCCTGGGAAGGAAGGCATCGTTCTGCAGCTGTGTTTCCTGCCAGGAAACCTTTCATCCCAACATTCAGTCTTCAGTTTAGGCTGGCGTTATTGTAGTGGTTTCTGAGTTCCAGCCTCAGTGGGCCTCAGAAGCCATAAAGGAACCATCAGCAGCTCCAGCTCCACTTTGCCCCCTCTCCAGCTGTGCCACTGCTGCACGGACTTATGGCACCACTGTGATGTGTCAACGCAAAAGCATTAATAAAATACTATAGAGTTGGGGCTGGCTTCTGGCACAGCTATACTGCCTTGAGTTGTGGCCTCGTGTCCATGCCAGACTTTTTCAGCATGGGACCTTCGAACCCAGCAGGAACACAATATGAAGCCAAAGGATTCCTTGATCTGTCTATAATTATTATTCCAGTACTTTAGGTTGATACCTTGTCTCCGTTGACATTAAAATGGGATTTAAAGTAGGTTCAGTGCTTGAAGATGCTTGCATAAACAAACAAAGGCATGTTTCTAATTTTAAATTGTTTTTCAAGGCGTTCAGTTTTTCTTTAATTTTTCCCACATTCCCCCCTATTTAATCCTTCTGGTTTTGATCACATAGGAAATGGAGCATGAAGACACTAAAAAGAAAAGAGTGTAAAAATGTCTCTTGTAAATAGGAGCGAAACATGGATTCCATTAGGCTACTCAGACCAAATGCTCACCTCTGTTATCGGGGTCTCTGTGAGGATATAGCAAGACTGGGGGCAGAGTATGAAGAGCCTAAGTAGGGAAGCAATCTCTCTCTCTCTCTCTCTCTGTGTGTGTGTGAGAGAGAGAGAGAGAGAGCGAGAGAGAGAGAGAGAGAGCGAGAGAGAGAGAGAGAGAGCGAGAGAGAGAGAGAGAGAGCGAGAGAGAGAGAGAGAGAGCGAGAGAGAGAGAGAGAGAGCGAGAGAGAGAGAGAGAGAGCGAGAGAGAGAGAGAGAGAGAAGTGCCATCAACTTGCAGCCGACTTATGATGACCCCAGCAAGGGGCTTTCAAGGCAAGCGAGAAGCAGACGTGGTTTGCCTTGGTCTGCCATCCAGGTACTAACCAAGGCTGATCCTGCTTAGCTTCCAAGATCTGATAATATTGGGCTGTACCATGCCAGCTTCCCTCCCAAACAAACAGTACTGCAACAATAAGGGCTACAAGGTAAAGACTTTCCTGGCTTGTACCACTTTAGATTTCGAATGGAGGCCCATATGTTTGAATGAATTCTCAATGTCGAAAACCACTCCGTATATGAAAAGACAGCATATTAGGGAGAGGGCTGTGCTGAAATCTTTCTTTCTGACATGCTAACTTCAGTGTAAATCGAACATTTGTTCCTCCACCTGTACTCTGATGTGATACAGACCAGGAAACACTATTGATGTTTGTCAAACTTCAATGAGAATAGCCCAGGATCATCCAATATCATAGCATCGTTGAAGCTAAACAGGAATGGATTTGATTGGTCCCTTGATAAAGTGATTACTGGGAAATCCATGCAAACCACTCTGCGTTTTTAGAGGAAGAACAGGCTGCAAGTCTAATAAAAATAAAACAGAAGCTTGGGGATTTGCCTTCTGTCAGTTCCATGTGAATTTTACAGACAAGACTGAGTAGATATTAGAAGAATTAATTTGGGGTACAGGGATATGCTTGCTTTAGTATCCAGATTATCATCTTGAATCTATTACCTGTGTTCAGACATGGATTATCAGAAGTACCTCTGTTATCTGCCAAACCTAATATGAAAGTAAGAGGTAGAGTTTAGCAGGCAATCATTTGTCTGAATGGATAATGGAAAAGGTGGTTGACATGTGCACAAGAAGATAACCTGATGTATTGCATAACTGGGTTGAGAGGGGCCTAAAATGTGAAGGTAGGTGGTAAACACATACTTTACTATGTGTTAAAACGGTGCATGTGACCATTTGTAGAGAACCATTGCCATATAGAGCTTTCCCACACACAGGGACTTGGAAAAAAGACATATGTGCATAATAACTCCTGAGAGTGTACAAAATTGTCCATTTTGTTTTTCTATGTAGGAAGAGTCAAGTGGCCCTTAAGACTATTGTACCTAGGGATCCTTTTTGTTTCTTTTTTGTCACAGGCAATGTCTTTTTGAACTCAGTACTCAACTGTTGCTTGCATGTGGTGTAGTAAATATCCTTAAGAACCTCCCAGTATACCATGTATAGAAAGCGCCAGTAAGAATGCAAGTTGGGTGGAAGATTAACTGGGAAGGATTGACACTGGCCAGCCTCAAAGTGCTTTAGTATAGGCTTACTCCATATGAATCTTCTGACTTCAGCTTCACTTTTTGGCAATGGCCATATGTTCACCTTTACCTCTGTTTTTGTATTGATCCAGCTCAGTGTTGCAGTGATGTCATCTTATAGTTTTATTTGCTTTAGGTGGGTGTTTTCAGGTTTGTGAATTTATAATCTCAGCATCCTAGATTTGATAAAACTACAGGAAATACTACAGCATGCCTTAAGTAATTCCTTCATTTCTGAAACACCTGCATATTATACAGTTCATCATTTGGAGGTGAACAGGGCCTTTACTTGTAACTTCAGAAGGCTTTTTTGTTATATAGAAATATACTTTGAGTTTTTAGCCCTCTTTTATTAATGCTAAACATGTTGCATTTTGTTTTTCAGGTCCTCCAGTAAGTACCATGGACATTGCTCTTGGTCTTGAGTCAACAAAGTTAAGACATTTGTTTCCTTTTTTGTATAGTTTTGTCAGAACAGCACTTTTAATAGAGGTGTGCCTAGAACACAAATTGGTAACAGATGCTGCTTTTCCCTCTGATTGTAGACAAACAGTTAAAGAGAATAATGCTTACGTTTCTGCCTAAAGGGTTTTGTGGTCATCTTAAACCTAGTAAAAATATTTTTTCTCTTTTTCTTACAAAAATGAGCTTTTTGTAAGCCAACTTTTTTTAAAAAATGCATGTTATGCTGGTATTGTTTATTGCAAATTTTAATTTCTCACTTGCTTCCAGCAACTAATGTGCTGGGGGTATAATTAGTAGTGTTGCTGGCTGCATATAGAGTTGCGCTTGTCCAGGTGAATGCACAACTCTGTGTGTATGCGTGTGGCTATTCAGCAAGTAGAAAACAGGACATATGTGAGAATGTTTTGAACCCAGCCTTGGAAGTGTGTTTCATGGTGTAGTTGTCTAAATCCCAGCTCTACTTGCACTCGTCTTTTCATTAAGACACACACTTACAAAAATAGATCATATACACCCTGACCTGGATAGCCCAGGCATGCCCAATCTCATCAGACCTCGGAAGCTAAGCAGGGCCAGCCCCGGCTAGTATTTGGATGGGAGACCTCCAAGGAATACCAGGGTCATGACGCAGAGGCAGGTGATGGCAAGCCACCGCTGAATGTCCCTTGCCTTTCAGCCTCACTAGGGGTTGCCAGAAGTCAGCTTGACTTGATGGCAATAAATAAATAAATACATCATATATACATACTAGATTTAAACTAGAACATAGCTCAATCATCTTTCTACTCTTTAAAAAACCCTACCCAGCTCTTTGATGAAATTAATGGAGGGGAGACCAGTAGTTTAGCAAACTGTTAATCTGGTGCATGAGGACACCATGCAATTTGTTTGTTTATTTAAGGATTTTTACAGAGCTTTTCTCCCACACGAGGACACAAAGCTGCTCATAGAATAAACACAAAAATACAGTTTCACCAAATAAACAAACGAAATATATACAGTACAGAGTTGCAACATCCTGGACTCATCCTGGATCCACTGACCTGGCTCTCTTAGGGCCACATGCTGCAAGCCATGGGCTAAGAACCAAACAGGATTGCTGTGACACAATTATGTCATCAGCAACATGTTGATATCACTTCCCATGAACCCAAGTGATGTCAGTGTGTCGCCAGGAGATGCCAATTACTCTGACATTTGGGCAAAACTATGTGTCTTAATCATACAGTTTTGCCAAAATACCAGAGTGCCATGATGTCCCCCGGTGATGTGCTGACATCACTTCTGGGCACAAGGAGAGTGACATCAATCTGTCCGGACACTGCTGGTATCTCCCCACCATTTGGTGCCTCCCCCCCCCCAGCTGGCCAGCTAAGCAACTGCCAGCTGGGGTCAGGGGATCCCCCATCCCTGGCAAGCCTGGAAACAAGGGCCATGAGCCCTCTGGTTTGTGCCAAAGGTCCCATCTAGGAGGACACCTAGGCCGTAAATACGTGCAATACAGAAAGAGAACAGCAGCTCAGTCCAGACCTTACTCAGCTGGCAGAAATGTTCCCAAAGTTCCTCCCCGGCAAGTGGGAAAGGAGAGAAAGTGGAGGTGTTCCTAGCTTGGTTGCCTTCAGGCAACATCCTAATTGCACAGCTTGTTTAAACCTCTTTCTGCCCCCCCTCCTGTGGCTAACTTACTCTTCTTGGTGGGATATTCAAAATGTCCAACAGAAATTAGGAGCTAGATTCCCAGAGATCCTTAGAGAAACATGCTGGAGTTATATAGCTCCAACTACCTAAATAGCAAGTTCACCCTTTGCCATTTCATCTGTAAAGATACATACATGTTCCTTCAAATTAAGACACTACCTCTCAAACACCTGAGCTGATTCAGGCACAAATCAAAAAAGATTAGTTTTATTTTATTTCAGAACCTGATACTGAAAGAAAAATTTGTCACACATACAGAAAACTGTTGTCTTTGAGGATATCCTTTCACCTCCTTCCTGGCATTTGTGTGCCCTCATGAATGATCAAAATGTAGTCTAGCAATCTCATCAGAAGAAAATGCTGCAATATGAATGTGAAAAATGCAGAGGAGAGTGACATAAAAAAACAAAACATTACTTTGTCATCAGTAAAAATATCCTTAAGCATCAAACAATATGCATTTTACTCTGATTGAGGTTCTGTTTGGAGTTTCATCTATTCAAAATACACTATTCTGAAAAGTACTTTGCCGTTGTGTCATGAAGATTGGTTTTATCAGACTATATGTGCAAAAGCTGCTGTCTGAACACTTCAAAAGAACAACTTACCAATATTCTAAAGCTGATTGATGAGGAGGAGATGAAAAATGGAAACAATACAAACCTTTACATATATAATCACTCTTTGCTACAAAAACACTATCAGTGATAGAAGTTACAAAAAATAATATTAGTAGGGAGTATTCAGTGGTTGTGGATGTAGTCGCTGCCAGCCTCAGAGCTCAGAACCTTTGCACTTGGAATTTACACAGTTGTATTGGATAGCATATGGGCTTGATAGCATTTCCATTGTACACTTACGTTCTAGTTCTGTTGGAATTTCTGTGATTGAATATGCAACATGTGTTTCTAGCATTCATGAGATAAATAAATTGGCCTGCAGCTTGATTAACTTATGTATGGTAATTTTTTTTAAATCACAGAGATAATCGCTGCTGTCGCTCGCCATACTTCACCTGATTGTAACTGAAAATATTACTTTATTGGTTGTTGTTTTGCAATTGCTAACATATGTGAATTGCCCTGTTATCTTTCCACCTGGAGCTACGAAAGGACTCTGCTTGGTTGCATTAGATTACAAGCATGCTATCAGTTGCAGGATCAGGTCCTTACATTTTCTCCACTTCATGCTTTGTTTACTTTTGAGTTTTGAATTTTCGGTCAAGATTTGTTTTTCCTCCTCCTCCTTTTGGTCTTCAATCAGTTTCATTGGATATTGCTGTTCTGCTATGGAGTTGCAAAGAAGCCTTTTCTACTCAGATAAGGCTTTCATTTCCTTTCATAGAGGAAATTTACATATTTTATGTGCAGAGCATGTTTTCCTCCTAAGCCGTATAACTGTATCCTTTAGTGCAACTTTTAGTTCTTTTAAGCTCTAAATGCTGTCCCCAAGCCCACAAAACACAGTTATTTTATTTGGACAGCACTACATTTGTGTCTATTAGTTTCTTCTAATATGCCACCCCACCCCCACTTCCCCATCCCCTTAGGCATAAGGAATTGATTACTGCCTGTGCCTCATAGCATCACATTGTACTTAAAAATTTCTGTGCCACCAGGTCTGACTTGTTCTGGAGTTCTACTTTTTGGTTGTCATAAAATGGGTTACGTATTAAACATTAGATTTTGTGGTACAGTATTTATGACTGTGGGATGGCCGACCATTCTGTTTGCAGAATGTACACTGTTCAAATGTGCTTCAAAAGAATTAGTTACAGAGGATATTAAAGTCACATGCTGAGTAGGTAATTCCTGCAACCTGAAGGATTCACTTACCATGCAGTTATAATTTACCACTAACCATATCAAATATTATAAAACCCTCCATATGGTAGGGTAGAAACCGTGGAGGCACACTGACATAGAAGAATTCTGCATTACACAGTCCTGTATTCTTTTCTGCATCTGACCCATGGCCAATACAAGTGGGTGTATGCCTACTGGGCTGTAGACCCACAATGGCAGACACACAGCCCCAATGAGAGTCGTGGCAGGATTATAACTCTGAGTTTACAGATGGCCTGCACAAGGGCTTTGTTTTTACCCTTTCTCAACCCACTCTCCTTTTGAGGTGTTCTTGTGATTTGAAGGATGCCCATTCCAGTGAGGGAGGGACTGCGAAGAACTGGCCTTTCATCCATGGCTTCTTGCCCTGGGGGTTAAAAAATTGGGAGCCCAGTCCTGATCTGACCCTCTGATATTGAGCTTTCATTACTCTGAGATTCTGTTTTGAGATGGAAGCATGCATGCATTCTGTGGGAAGAATTTAAAATAAGTAAAAAGGCTCCATTACTAAAAGTTGGCATTACTGTAGAGTACTTCAGTTTTTCAACAGTCAGAACCTGGTAATGGAAAAGAACGTTTGAGTTTTTGAAGATTAAGAACATAGTCACTCATTCAGTGACCCAAGGAGCAATCAAATACTTCTCAAAAGAATGCCCATAAAAAATAAACTACTACTGACATGTTTCCCTTTCAGCCCATTTCATTACTTTCTCAACAGCTGTAACAGAAATAAGATGGAGTTTATAGCACAAAGTCCACTGAAATAAACATGGGCTGCCTAATATGCTTTACTATATGTAGGGTTGCCAACTCCAGGTGGCAATATTCCTGGGGATTTGAGGGTAGAGACTGGGGAGGGCGGGGTTTAGGGAGGGGAGGGAGCTCGGCAGAGTACAGTGCCATAGAGTCCATCGTCCAGAGCAGCCATTTTCTCCAGGGGAACTGATCTCTGTCACCTGGAGCTCTGTTTTAATACCAGCAGATCTCTAGGCCTCACCTGGAGGCTGGCAACCCTAACAGTATGTGAAGTCTGTACTGTTGAATCTGCCACAGTTGTAGCCCTTCTGTCTTATGTGCCAAAAAATAATTGGGCAGCAAAAAAATTGCTTTGTGTGCCAGTCTGTGGCAAAGTATAGGGTCAAGGGACCAAGCCACTTCCCCTGACCCTGGAAAGTACTCTTCTCCTCCATGACTACTCAGTTGTCAGCCCACTTGTTAGCCTGCTCGTAGTATAAGAAGAACAATGATAAATTACAGTGATCAAACCAATAAGCAGGAGTGAAGAAGGATTAAGTAAAACAAAGGAATACTCCAGATGTACTTAATCTTTTAACCTGTAGTGCTGTTTAACTCTGGGGTACAACAATATATATTCTAAAATGAAAGCTAATCTCATGGGATCAAGGCGACCTAAATATAATGATAAATGATAGGCTACAAAATCAAATGGGATTATGCTGCAGGATATGGGAGAGAGACCAAGCCTTGCAGTAATAATACACATGAAGTCGAGAAATAACGTCCCTGGAACAAAACTGCTTTCTTGTCTTAAAAATATGTCAAGTTTCTCTCTTAGTAGGGAATTTTTTTTAAAAAAAAACTGATGGCAGAAGGCTGATGTGGTTTTGTAGACAGCATGGTTTTTAAGCTTGGGAGAGCTCAATTTAAATCTCTGCTTATCCGTAAAGATCATGGGCAGATCTGAACTTCTCAGCCTAACCTATCTCACAGGGTTGTTTTGATGGTACAGTGAGATCAGGATTTACAGAACCTGCTATGAACTGCTTTTCTTGAGCTCTCGTGCTGTTGGGGGGGGGTGGAGCCTGTGGAGTTTTTGTCCTTCTCAGATCAACACCTGGCATCCTTATATTGACTGTAATGTCTTGCTGCTGTTAAGTGCAAATGATTGATGTTATTGTTTTCCTTATTTAATATCACAGGGGCAGTCAGGACGAGATGGTTACCCGGTAACTTTGCCTTTATTTTGCAATCTTTCTCCAAGCTGTGCAACGTATCTCATTTTTGCCATCTTCTTTTCTGCTTTCTCTGTCTCTGTCTGTCGCTCATAATAGTGAAAAGGGTTTTAATCTTAAAACTTGGAAGAGATGTTGAATATGTGTAGGTCTCCTCCAGAATAAGTTCATGAGCAAGTAACATGTCTGGTTGCAGTCTGGGGTTTTTCCCAAAGTTCCAGGTAAACGTTACTGTGTGTGGGAACATAAAAAGGCTTTCTCATTTACTTTAGCTTTAGGGGAAATATACCAGGAGTAAAACAAACTATGCATGTGGCAGTGCCCCTCAATGGGCAGTTCCCTCCTTACACAAGGGTTATGTGTGTTCATTATAGCTCCAAGACATATTCAAGGCCCCCAAAGGGATTTGTTTTAGGAAGACCTATGTTGAGCAGATTCCTGTCAAAAATGTCTCAGTGTTTGCTTGATTGTAAACAAAGAGAGTAAGAACTGTCAGTGCACTAACTTGCACTCACAGAAAGGCTTACATTTAGTAGTGACCTGCTGATTGTTAGAATGTAGTAAATGGACCATAACTTATTTGGATGTTAACATTCTGTAGCTGTTCCTTCCTTTAGATAATTTGCGTAAATACTTGCTAGATTTGGTGTCTGCTAACTAAGTGGCTTCCCAGAAAATCAGCTCATGTTACCTATTTCCTGTGTGCTGTCTAGAAATATTCCCGTGAGACTGTGCAGCAACTCCAGTTTCCCAGAAAGGGATGTGTTTGTGTGTTTTGGAAAATGTGATTCTCCCCCCCCCCAAAGCACATCCATTGTTTTTGTGATTTCTGTTTGAGAGGTATTGTACAAGTGTCATGGGCACCTACTAGAAGGTGCTGCAATGGAATAGTGAGGAGTGACACTTTTTTGTTTACCTTTATTTGATAATGTGTGAATGATTTAGCAGTTGAGAAATCTGTCACTCTAGTATGTCACCTAGGCTTTTTTAAAAGGCAGGGGCAGGGGGAAGTGAACACAGCATGACTACTTCCTGTTTCCACAGTAAATTCCCACCATAAATTTAACTGAGATGAATCCAGTCATTCTGTTCAAGAAAGTCTGAAGGCTTCCTCCAATTTGGGTGGCTCTTCATTCACCGCTCTGAATATAACATTTAAATGTTAGATTGCTCAAAATCATGGTACCTTTTACCAGCTTCGAACCTTTCCAAAATTTGTAAATACATAAACCAGTGGCAACTTAGTATGGCCTTCAATTATTAATTCTTCTCTAGATTTTAATTTGTATTCACCTTGCTGGAATTCTAACACAGCACGATATGTTAACCATTTATGTCAACTCGACTTTCTGCGTCATAGACAACCAGCATGATGTAGTGGTTAAGAGCGGCATACTCTAATCTGGAGAACTGGGTTTGATTCCCCACTCCTCCACATGGAGCCAGCTGGTTGATCTTGGGTCAATCACAGCTCTCTCAGACCTCTCTCAGCCCCACTGATCTCACAGGGTGTCTGTTGTGGGGAGAGGAAGGGAAGGCAATTGTAAGCCGCTTGGAGACTCTTTCAGGTAGTGAAAGGTAGGGTATAAAACCAACTCTTCTTCTTCTTCTTAGATACCTATCAGGTGTAAGGGAGCTGCCATGAAAACAGAAGGGTAACAACAGTAGTGGAAGTAGCCAGGATGTGCATACTAGGAGAAGTTAAAGCCACCCCTGTGCAAGTTCTGCCATTGAGAAAAGCAAAAAAGACCAACTCACATAAATGCCTAAGCAGCTTTACAAACACTAAGAATTTAATTTATTAAAGATTAAGGAAGCAGAGTTTGTTCTAAATGGGTGGCCTAAATACAGTCACTAGGAAGCTGAATCCTTATTATGAATGAATGCTGGTTTTGGAAATACTTCTACTGCCCATCAAACCTTGACGCATTCTTACTTTTTGCAATGTCTTGCTCTGTTTTTAGTCACAGACCCCTGCAAACAGGAAATGTTGGAATGCCCTAAATCTTATAATTACATACCATTAGTTGATAATACATTTATAGTCTTCCCTTAGTAAAGAAAACAATGCAAGACTCCTTTGCAAGACTCATATCATTTCCCCTGGAATGCAGTCTTGGTGCTTCATGAACAGAGTTAAGACTCTGTTTTAAAATGCCCTGCTTCTAGCTTGGTTCTTGATATTAATACAAGACATCACCAACAACAACAACAACACAACATGTTAAAAAAACAATGACGGCTGAGGGGTGACATGATCGAGGTTTATAAGATTATGCATGGGATAGAGCAGGTCGAGAAAGAAGGACTTTTCTCCCTTTCTCACAATACAAGAACTCGTGGGCACTCCATGAAATTGCTGAGCGGTCGGGTTAGAACAGATAAAAAGAAGTACTTCTTCACCCAAAGAGTGATTAACACATGGAATTCACTGCCACAGGAGGCAGTGGCGGCTACAAGCATGGACGCCTTCAAGAGGGAACTGAATAAACATATGGAGCAGAGGTCCATCAGTGGCTATTAGCCACAAGGTATAGATAGGGGCTCTGGGGCAAGTGATGCTCTGTATTCTTGGTGCTTGGGGGGGGCAACAGTGGGAAGGATTGTGATGTCCTGGCCCCACTGGTGGACCTCCTGATGGCACCTGGTATTTTTGGCCACTATGTGACAGAGTGCTGGACTAGATGGGCCATTGGCCTGATCCAACATTGGCTTCTCTTATGTTCTTACGTTAACAACCCTTTCTACTTCTGGGCTTTTAAATATGATTCCATAGGCACATAGACTTTGCAGTTTGCAAACTGCCAGCATAGACCAAAGGGTGTAAATACAACTTGTAATATTATAATTACAGTTATTGCATAAAAAGATGAAACTCATCAATAACAATAAAAGAATTCTATGTCCACCTATCCATCTGTTTGCAGCAGGCATAACTCATCAGAAAATAAAGCTAAGAGTCTCAAAAATTGGCCAATGGCTTCAAGAAGAAGGGTAGGTTTTATACCCCGCCCTTCACTACCTGAAGGAGTCTCAGAGCAGCTTACAGTCACCTTCCCTTCCCCAGCAGACACCCTGTGAGGTAGGTGGGGCTGGGAGAGCTCTGAGACAGTTGTGACTGACCCAAGGTCACCCAGCTGGCTACATGTGGAGGAGGAGTGGGGAATCAAACCCAGTTCTCCAGATGTGAGTCCGCTGCTCTTAACCACTACACCATGCTGGCTCTTGGATGATCATGGGAGTTGCAGTGACAGAAACAAAGGAAATCAGAGCATTCTTGGCTCAGGTTATCTCCAGAACATGCACACACTCATACCATGCACACACTATTTGCAATGAAAGCTAAGGTTCCCTGTTTGTGGCAGGGATAATTACTCAAGGGGAAAAAATCTGAGAGCTTTTTTGAAACTGCCCCCAGCTTCAGGATTATGATGGGACTTGCAGTGCCAAGAACGAAGGGAATCAGAACATCTTAGCCCAGATCAGCTGTTTGCATTGGAGGCAGGGCTGCCAGCCTCCATTTGGGGCCTGGAGATCTCCTGCTTATACAACTGATTTCCAGACAATAGTTATTAGATGTTTCCCCTGGAGAAAATGGCTGCTTTGGAGGGTGAACTCTATGGCATTGTACCCTGCTGAGGTCCCTCCTCACACCTTCCCAAGCTCCACCCCCAAAATCTCCAGATATTTCCCAGTCCAGAGCTGGCAACCCTAAATGGAAAGAAAGGTTTACTCCCAAGTAGGCAAGAAGGGTGAGGCAGCAGACCCAAGGAGAGTGGAAGACAAGGCAAGGTTAAGAACGTCCCCTGACTATCAGAGCCAGAATGGTGTAGTGATTAGACTGCTGGACAGGGGTGAAGGAGATCCAGGTTCAAATCCACACACACACACCCTCGCCATGGAAGCTTGCTTGGTGACCTTGGGCCAGTCACACACTCTTCACCAGACCTACCTAATGGGTTGTTATGAGGATAAAATGGAGGCCAGGAGAACTATGTAAGCTGCTTTTGCTCCTCATTTGGGAGAATGGTGAGGTATGACTAGGGATGGGCACAAACCAGAATATTCCAGTTCAGTTCAGGGTGTGCCCAAACTGGGCAAAAAATGCCTGAACCCAACCAGCTGGTTTAATGACTTGCAGCCATTTAAACCTAACAGTGGAGCTGGTGCACCCATCAGCTGTTACGCTGAAATAGATGCATGCTATTTCAGCAATCCCCCCACTTCTCACCATGAGCCTCACAAACCTCCAAAACCACATGGAGGGTCATGGGAGGGTCATTGAGGTGTGAACTTAGGGTCTTGGGCAGGTTCGTGCCCATTCCTAGGTATGACTATTGTTATATCAAGGGACTATAATCCCTTGATATTTGGAGGTGGAGCCCAGATAATACAGGGTTGGTCAGGGGAGGGGCCTCTGCAAGGCAGAATACCATAGAGTCCACCCTCCAAAGCAGCCATTTTCTCCAGGGGAGCTGATCTCTGTAGTCTTGAGTTCTTTTGTCATTGCAGATCTCCAGGCCCCACCTAGAGGCTAGCAAACCTAACTGTCCCCATAGCTTGCTATCTGTCCTACCTCACAGTTTAGTTTCCTCATCTATCTGTAAAACCTACCCTTAGAAAGACTGACAGGTGGCCATGAAAACAGAAGGCTTCTAGAATGCATGCAGTGAAATAAAAAGTAGGCCAGTGGGGAATGGGCTAGCAGTTCCACCAGTATAATCTGCTCCACCAGTGCATGGAACTGAAGTTTCACTAGCTGCACTTGGCATGCCTGTAATGCTCCCAATGGGCTGTCCACTCAGTGCTGTTGACCTTGATGCTATCATAATCCTACCTAAATAAACATATATTGGCTTCAAACAACTGTAAAAATACAATAAGTAGCATTTTCTGGTAATGAGGCTAAAACTGTGTATTCTAAGTATGCCGTGGCCTTACAAGAAGAAAGGAATTTGATCAAATGAAAAGCAGACACTAGTGTCTTGTGTTGAGTTAGAGCAGCTGATGATCTCTGCCAAACCCAGCTGTTTAGGCAGACTGGTCTAATTAGTTAACCTTTCACTGTGAAATGATCAGAATTGTCAGGAACTAGGAAATGGGCCTGTGATGCACATTCGCTCTTCACTATTTGTGATTTATTATTTATAATTGACGTGCATCTTCTTTGTCTTCAAGATGTGTCTTGTGCTATGATCAGAAAACTGAATGTTTTTCTCTCGGTGTCAGGACACCGCCTAGTGAAATTTTTGTGTACATATGAGGGACACTTACAGAGGAGGTCAGTTCAGCTGTTTGCCTCAAAGAGAGTTGAAATGTAACTTGAGTGTTCTGGATTCTTTTAAAGATGTATGTTGCCCAGGGTTCTACCAGTTAAGTGACAGAAGCTTCCCTAACGTTTTCAAGAAGGATATTTTGGAAAGTGAAATGTTCGTTATCGTTATGTATGGATGTCTGCTGGTATGTTACATTGAGGTCATTCTGCTTTCTTTTACTTGTGCACCAAGCAGAAGCAAAAAGTAAAATCCCACTTATCTCCTCAGGAAATCAAAACGGAGCAACATTTTAGTTTCAAGAGCAATACAAGTTCCAGAATTTCTTTTTGAACTGTTTTTCTCCCTACACTGGCACCTCTCTGGTATAGTATTACTGCTGGAATTTGATATAAACTTCATATGAATCCAACTTCCTTTTTTTGGGGGGGGAGCATCAAGTCACAGCTGGCATGCTGACCCTGTACGATTTTCAAGGCAAGAGAAATTCAGAGGTGGTTTGCCATTTCCTGCCTCCACATCATGACCCTGGTAGTCCATGGAGATCTCCCATCCAGATACTAGCCTAAGTATCAACACTGGCTAATACTCTTAGCTTCCATGATTGGGCTAGATTATCAGGACAGTCCCCCCCCCCAGCTCCACAGACAAAGCTAGGGTTGCCAACCCTGGGTAGGGAAATTCCTGGAGATTTGGAGGTAGAGCATGGGGAGGGGGGACCACAGCAGGGTATAATGCCATACAGCCCACCAGATCAGTTGTAATTCTGGGGGATCATCAGGCCTCACCTGGATGTTGGCAAACCTAGCACAAAGCTGGTGAGTCCCAGGGCCAAGGCTTCTGCAGCTGTGATAGTTCAGTTCAATTTATTGTTACAGTCCTTAGACCAGACATACAAAAAAAAGAAGTATACCTTTACAATATTCCAAGCTGTGGTGGCCATTTTGCAGAATTAACTGGCTAATGAATTTACCAGGCATGGTAAAGGTAAAGGTTTCCCTTGCTCAAAAGCCAGTCGAATCCGACTCTAGGGAGTGGGGCTCATCTCCATTTCCAAGCCAAAGAGCCAGCGCTGTCCAGAGACGTTTCCATGGTCATGTGGCCAGCATGACTAGTCGCCAAGGTGCACGGAACGCTGTTACCTTCCCACCAAAGCAGTACCTATTTATCTACTTGCAATTTCTTGCTTTCAAACTGCTCAGTTGGCAGGAGCTGGGGCCAGAGACGGGAGATCACTCTGTCACACGGCACTAGGGTCTCGAACTGCTGAACTACTGGCCTTCCGGTCTGCAATTCAGAGTCTTAACTTCTGAGCCACTGCGGCCCCAACCCAGGCATACACCTTCACTTTTAAGAGGAAAAATGACTAAAGTCTTTTTAATTTGTGATTAGTTGGGAGACAATGGGCTGACTTACTTATTTTATCTAGTGTATTGTTTACTCTTCAGTTTGAATTTTACTTTTTTGATAGGCATGCTTTTAATTGTGTTTATTTTACATTGATTTTAATTCAAGATGCACTACTTTGAGGCCAGAAGACTGAGAAATATATTTGAAAAATAGATAAGCTAGAAGTAAACAATAAAGGAAAATATCATTATTTATCTTGTAATTTTTTTCTTAAGTTGTGCTTATTTTATTACACAGCTATGGGTTGTAAGACCCACAGTTTAGAAAGGAGTCAACAGAGATTCATTGCATTGCCATGAGCAGGATTCTCATATACCAAAGCCCAATAGGCACTTAATAAACTCTGGATGGTTCTCTTACGTGTTCTCTTATGTGTTCAGTACTTCCATTTGTCAGTCCTGAATCTACCAACTCTCAGTTTCAGTGAGCAATCTAGTATATGGCATGAGAGAGGAAAAATTCATTCTGTGAGTTTTCTCTACATGATCCATAACTTTATGACTACCTCTCATGTCCATTGCTGAATCATGTTTTTTTCTAAACAAAAAGCCCCAAACACTTTATCTCTGGGCCAACTACACTAGTCTCTTCTTCCATTATTGACAGTATTTGTTCACTAGGTGATTCTTCAGAATCCAGTAACATTCCTCTTCAAATACTGCATTTCACATACACACATACACACCTTTTTTTAAGTGCTGATGTGATTTATTTAATGCTATTGTACCACTGTCCTTTATATGAACAGTTCTGTTACGACAGAAGTTAAAGAAGAGGGTCTTTACTTTCATTTGTTACCTCTGCCCCACTTTCTCCAATGCATGTCCCCCACCCCCAGCAAAAACTGGCAAACCTCAAGGGAAAGCATTGTCATTCTCATCAATGTCCTTTTCTTTAAAAAAAAAAGGAAAAAGGAAAAAGCCAGAATATTAATTCTTTGACCAGTGGTAATGCTCACATTGTTTTAAAGGGAGAAATGCCCTGTTGAAACCCTCCCGCTTCTCCCTTGCCTCTTCACTGCCCTGTCATCTGTGCTCCCATGCCCGCCAACTCTTTAAATTAATTGCAGCTGCACCAAAAAGTTGCTTTTTGTCACGATGTATGGATTAGAGTATGCATAAGTTACACAGAACAGAGCTAGTGATACTACACCGTTGATGAAAACACTCATTTTGGGGGGTTGCTCACCTAGATTGTTTCTCTGTCTTCCTGGAGTGCAGATTTTACTAGAGCTTTATTTATATCCTCTGGCCTCTGGCCTCTTTCTCTTTATTCAGTTCATTCTCCACCTCACAATTAATGAGTAGGGATGAATACCAACTGGGAAAATGCGGGTCAGTTCATGGTGTGTGCAGTTTGGTGCCCCCATCCTCCATTGTTTCCAATAGACTAAGGTCAAACCAGAGGTCCTTTCAGTAGAAACTGAAGATGGGGAACATTTTTTGCAAGCCCAGCAGAACCAGTGCCACTGTGGCACTGCAAACCCAACAGGACTAAAGGCCAGCCAGGGAAGTGCTTTTGGAGGAAATGTCAGGCACATGTTCAAAAATATATAGAATGGAACCCAACCCCCCCCCCGCAAGCTACACACACCAAACACACATGGGACCTCACCATGCTGCCCAGTCCTCTACAATCACTCCAAGTTGGGGGCAGATTGCATTTCTGGGGTCCCAGTTACGGGCTCCCCAAAAAGGTCTCCCCAGTGCTCTCTCTGGAAAAGACAGCTGCAGTAACAGGAGTCTGTGAAACAGCTCAGGAGCAAGCCAGTGACACCAAACTCACAGGGAGACTACACCTGGGCACACACACACACCCAGCCAGACACTGGAAACAAGGCAAGCATCCCCCCTAAGCTCACACCATCCCCCAAGTCTCCAAAAGCAGGTTCTGAAGGACAGAAAGACAGACATCCCCAGTTTCATCAGGGGCTCCCCAAAATTACCCCATGACAGTTTGGTGGGCATCCACCAGACCAGTGGAAATCAGAGTTTTCCACTTACAGTGATTAGTGATGCCAGCCACAACAGAAAGACCGACAGCACCCAAAGCAGAGGTACAACCTTCTAAGCCCATTGAGGAATAGACATGGAAAGGTATAACTCTGCTTAGGATGGGATTGGAGGTCTTCCACCACTCATTTAATAATTCTGCCCTTCTGCTCCCTGTGAAACTTCAGAAATTCCTGGTGTCTTTCTAGACTTATGCTGGAATGCCAGCTGGTTCTTCTCAGTTGTTTTGTGAAGAGATCTTTTCCCTCTTGGAAGACAAAGCTGAACCCAGGGAATAGGGCATGGGAAAGGGGAGCTAGCTGCCGTTTGACAAACTTTGATATCACCCAAATGCAGGCAAGGATGCTGCTGTTGTTTCAACTAGTAGCAGTCACCAAGGAAACAACCATGAATTGTGTTTCCTGTGGGCTTTGTCAGCTGAAGCTGGCTGTTCCCATTGCCACTGCTGGTAAAAATGTAGAGCCTAGCAGAGACAGAGAGCTGTTGTTTTTCCAATTAAAATTTGTTCGATGTTTTATAGTGAATGACCAAAGTGATATTGTTTATTGTCCTCTTCCCATTTTAATGTTGTTTTTGCCAGCTTTAGCTATTATTCACATACTTAACAGAGAAGAGATTTCTTTTGTAAATTATAGCTTGGCTGCAATTATTTTGTCTGCGGTGTAGCGTGCTGAGCGTTTAGATATTCTGTGACAGAAAACTTTTCAGTCTTGTCAGAGCCAGGTTTAGGGGTATAGTAGGTAAGCTACAGTTTATTTTTTATTGTATTCTACAAAAAATTATATCCTGCCTTTCTGCCCTCACAAGAGCCACCAAGGTGGCTAACAAATTTAAAAATACATAATAAAATCAGATTTTAAATCCATTAAAGCCAACCAAAAGAAAAACACACACATCATTAAAACAAAAACAGAGAATTAAAACATTGATCAGGAAGGCAGGATCACTGAGGGAATGCCAAACAAATAAATAGTAATTTCACATTACCCTTTTTAACCCATTTTGAAGCCATTTTAGATCCGTTGTGGAGTAAACCGGTATAGGGCTGCCATTTCACACATGGCTTTCCCCTTCCGGTAAAGAGCTGGATCTGAAGTGGTTTGCCATTTCAGACTGCACCGCTTTTTCCCACTTTACCCCCCGCGTGGGCAATCTCCGGCTTTTTTTTAAAAATGTTCACTTTAGAGCGCTATAGCACTATAGTGCTATAACACAACACTCCAGGCATTCTAATGGGGTTGATATAATGGAGGAATTTCAGACAGGCAATATATTCCGGAAGAGGAATGGTTCCCAAACGGTTTCTGGTCTGTCATTTCAGACAGAACCATTTGAGAACCGGTTCCCTTCCGGAATATATTTGTCATTTCATACACAATCACTTCTGTCCCATTTAGGAAACGGGGCTGAAACGTTTTACCTGTCAACCGCTTCCAAGTACTCCTCAGTTTCATCTCCCGGTTCCGATGCGCTTTTTCCCACCGTTTTTTGCCCACGCAGGTGATCTCCGGCTTTTTTTTCAACGTTTGCTTTATAGCGTTATAGCGCTGTAACGCTCTAACGGAATAGCATTATATCAATCCCATTGGAATGCATGGAGTGTTTTGTTATACTGCTATAGCGCTATAGCGCTCTAAAGCGAACGTTTTTTTAAAAAGCCGGAGATCGCCCGCACGGGCAAAAAACGGCGGGGGAAAAGCGGGAAAAAGCGGTGCAGTCTGAAATGGCAAACC